TCTTCCGATCTGGAAATCAAAAGAAACTTATACGCTCCGCACTGTACTAATTAGATTTGCTATTGCAACCCCTCACGACACAATACTGCACCATTTTCACTTCTTTTCTTGTAATCTCGTGCAAAAAGGAATAAGCCGGCAGGAGTAGTCCGTAGCCACAGTATATCTTTTGAAAAGCAGCGCCTGCAACAAAGCTAGAACAAAGATCAAATGTGCAGTTTTCTGCAAGAGAATTGAAAATCTGTACAAACTGTATTATACAGGTTAACTATTCTCTACAGAAAAAATAACCGTTCTTGGTTAACTTCACTTTTTACTTATTTTCACTTAGCACTATTTACTAAACACTAAACACTTTTCTATTAACTGCTTTAACACGTTTTATATTCACTAACACTGCTCTGATTTTTTGTTTTAAAGTTTAAATCGCCTTGATTTCACTTCTGTTACGTTTACCGCCAATTTCGGTCGTTGAGGCATTTAAATGACAGAGAGCACTATAGAAAAGTAAAGAGAGCAAGTCGCAGACGATAGAAAGAGAGATTCCGATGCTCTAAGAAAACGCGTGAAACAAGGACAATAGACTCAGCGCGATCAACTTGCCAACGCTAAATCATTTTACTTTTCTCAGTTGCCGTAGTAGTAGTTTCCTGACTTCGACATCGTCGAGCAAAAGTGAACGTGGTTTGGCCGAACTGCACACACCATGCTATCCCTTCCACCATGGACTGGCCTAATAAATAATTCCAAAAATAAGAAATAAAATAAATAATTAATATAAAAGTAACTAAATATATATGCATATAAAATTTCGAAGTAGCTCGTACAAGGGGAACACCAAACATGGCCCCCTCCGATTTGGCTAAATTTTATACATATAAGAGTTCACCTCTCCTAACTAATTAATAACTAATTAATAATCTCCCACTAATTCGTGCTACAAGGATACGTACCTTTCAAGCATTCGTGAGAAAAACGCGTTCAAAGATTTTTATGTTGGTAGTGTACCCATCGGGAAGATGGGTACAAGAGTGAATCTGCTACAAGCAGCGTGGCGCATAACGAGTATAGTAAGGTGCCTGACTTTAATGTTGCATGTTGTTGATTCAAATCTTATTT